TTTTTTTTTTTTTTCTCTCTTCAGTTCATCCTATTTTTCCTCTTTTTCCTTACCGACTCGTCGACGAATTAACTTGGCGTTGCTTAAACCGTTGCTCGGGCGAAACGTGTTCTTCCGGAAAAATTACACGAACGAAAGAGATTCGTGTCCTCGAATTCCGTTTTCCGTTGCGGATAACCGGCTCGTCGATTAGCATGCATTAAAAATGAAGGAGAGAGAGAGAGACAGAGAGAGAGTGAGAGAGAGAGAGAGAGATAGCGAGAGAGATAGAAAAAAAAAAGAAGGTAAATCGTACGACGTAAGCCTGCGTCCCTAGAAATATTCGTTCTCTTTTCTGTGCTGCGTGAGGGAAATCCTGGACTTCCGGCTTGTGTGCTACCGCCTATCGTGTCGTATATATATATATATTTTTTTTTCCTGTCCTCTTCTAAAAACACCCTCTTCTCGCGCGAGTGCTGTCGCCTCGAAGAGGATTGGAGTACCGGTGTCGCGTCAGCGTTACGTGGCGCCCGAAACGTTATGCAAAATCGAGCGGTCTTAGCGAACGAAGAAGGGAAACGCCTGGATGGGGAGCACGCTTCCGGTCGGACACTTCGATCCGACTTCGAATCCACCGCGAAATCGCTATGCGGCCAGCTATGCGGACCTCCCGGCATCCGAGGAAACGGTCCGCCGCGAACCCGGTAACCCGAATTCGGATACCTGCTATCGAGTCCTCCGGGGATCCGGATTACCGGAATAACTCGAATCACCCGGTTCACAGGAACGATTCCGTCCAAACGATCGGCCCCGACCTCATGGAGTTGCTCGCGTGTACTCCGTGACTTTTCGGGGAAACGCGACGTTCCTCGCGATTCCAGCCAGAATGAGCGAGTGAAAGATAAAGGGAGAGAAGGAGGAAGAAGGTCGAAGACGTAAGCGTGCCTGTTACACGTCCTTCGACGAAGTCCTCGCACGTCGAGACGATTCCGTGACAAAGGACGCCGGTCGCTCGTCGAACAGACGCGAGAATCGTGGAACACGGTCGTATCAGTCGCGATCGGATCGAGAACCTGTTGCGGAGAAGTGGATGCAGCGGGAGAGCAAGATGGCGACGACTGACGAACGCGGGGGTAAAGGCAAACGGTGCAGGGATGTCTGAGCCGTTTCCGGGACGCGAATCCGCGAACAGCCTCGGGGAAATTCGTTTCGTATTCCGGCCGCGTATTGTCAGCCGAAACGCGAAACTTCGGGATCGGAATCGCTCGACGAGACTACGGGGATGGGTCGGCACTTAATTACTCGCGGATGCTGGAGCAGCGCGACGCGGTCGTGAAGGATCCGGCAAGCGTTGCCGAACGGTAAAGGTCACCGGGTTGGACGCGTGATCCGGGGTGGAAAATCGGGCGCCCAGCGGAGATCAGTTTCCAGTCGCGTTACGTACGTCGGCACGGGAGTAAATAAGCGACCGGGACGGGACACGGACGTAAATGGATAAAATTTTGGTAACACCAGAAATATAAACGAACAAACCAAAACGCAAACAGCAGAGACGGGAAACGTAAATAACGGGGATAGTCGGGGGAGAAGACGCGTGGATAGGGAGCATGGTCTGGTACGGAAAGCGGAAGATCGATGCGAGGCCGGGGTCGGAGAACGCGGGGCTTTCGACGACCTTAATATTCCGGCTGGAAATTTCGTGTGGAAAGATTCAGCGAAATAGATTAGCCGTCAAAGAACCTTGAAATTGGCGGCCGACAATCGCGGGAATGGCAGAGGAATACGATTTACTCGGGAATATAATTTACCGTGCGTTTTAGTATAATTCAGTTGAAGCAACTTACCGAAGACTCCGCGAGTCTGGCAACAAGCTGCGCAACTTTAAATTACTCGCGGATCCTTGGCTTGCCGCGTTCCCCCCCGTGGGACGAGGATCATTTATACATCCCGCGGGATACGCTTCCATCCGGAATGGCTGCGGAATGACGGCCGGTGCCTGGTCGTTTTATGCGCATTAGGACACGTGTTTCCGATAACCGGGGGTCTAACGCTCGCGTTTATCTGTACACGTCGTCGTTTCCGTTTCAGCCGCTCCTGACCAGACGTTATTCGCATCCGGACGGTATCGCCGTCCGCTCGCAGAGCGCCGTGACGCCAGATATACCGCGACTACACTCTGCACGGATCGGCCACCGTGGTAATATCGCCGGGAAACAAATGCGCCAAAGTCAGGTGTTCCTTATCGCCCTCGCCGGGATCCGCCAGGGCAGATTGCTCCCCGTCATGCCCACTGTTGCACCCTTATCGCTTCCAGGGTTTCGCTGATCGGCGAAAATCGACCACTCCATTTTCCACTCGATCGGCTCTTGTTTCCGGCGACCTGCGCCCCACCGCCACCCCCAACTTCGCCCGACGCGAAAACTTTCATCCAGCCCAACGAATTTCGCGAGTTC